TTAAATAAAGAGAGTTTGTGTTCATGAAAATATGTGTATTTTATTTTACATCAGGAAGGGGGGCTAGGGAGGGGTAAGGGGTACGGCCTCGCGCGTGGAGGCCGGTGCGCTGTGCACCGCAGGCTGGTCCGGCGGTGCCGTTTGAAGCGCCGACTCCATGAGGAGAAGCTTCAAGCGGGAAACTCTGTCCTTTCTAGTACGAGGCTTGAAAGACTTGCAGATTTTGCAGGCAATTGCCAAATGGGCCTCACCCAGACACTTAAGGCAGCTATCGTGGGGGTCGCCCCAGGGCATAAACTTCCCGCAGTCAGCGCACGTTTTAAAGCCTTGCGGCCCTGGCATTCTTTACCCCCCAAGGGGGGGGAAGGAACAAAACAAAAAACCTAACTATCTAATTACACAACTATTTACAAAGTGAGAAACGGGAACCATTAACCTAACAGCTAGAGAGAGAGAGACACGCTCCAACGACCAACACGGCAGTAAGAAGGAACTGAGGTGGGGCAGCGCCGGCAGGGGTACTTATGCCCGCCATGGTGGCGCCACTCCAGGGGGCGCCCCGCCGGCACTACGGGTACCGCTAGGGAAAACCCTCCGGAAGACGTGGTGCACGTGGCGCGCACACCTACTTCGAATAGCTTCCAGAAACAAAACTCACTAAGCTATGTGAGCTGCAGCATCTTTAACACAGCTACCCCTTTGATGCATAAAATTAGTCTGTATCTGCAAAAACAAGGAGTCCTGTGGAACCTTAAAGACTAATTTATTTATTTGTGCATAAGCTTTCAAAGGCAAAGACTCACTGCGTCAGATGGCATGTCACAAAAACTTATGCCCAAATACATCTATTAGTCTTTAAGGTGCCACATACTCTTGGTTTTCAATTTTACGATTGGTTAACCTAAAGAAACAGCATTCATTTTCTTGTGAGCCGGGTTCTCATCAGACTACTGGGGTCTTGCTGATCAACAGCCTCTCTGCAGACGACAGCTTCACAATCACCCATGGAGAGCTGAAGAGCGCTCTCTACGGCTCCAAAGAAACTGTATTTTGGATCCTCGTTTGTGTGTTTTGCAAAGGAAAGCAGAACTAGTTAAGATGTTACAGAGTTTCATGGGCTCAATACTTATTAGCTGGAAAAAAAACCTGTAAGGGAAGGACAGAGGCATCACTGCAGAAGGAATCTGGGAGGAGCAAAATTGCGTCAGCCTCTAGAACATCATATGTGATTATATTACATCCTGAAAAGTGGGATAGAGCATATGGACATATTAAAAGTATGGAGCAGGGGGGTCAGTAACTGCCCCCCTCCTTGCATCACAGCAAATGAAACCCCTGGGGAAGAATCTTCTATTAAAGCAGAGTAAGATCTCTGCTTAGCAAATCATCAAACTCTACTCGAGCACTTAGTTTTAATGTAGTGAAACTAAGTATTTAAAAGCCATGGGAGCAAGAAGATGCTAAGTTGCCTAACCAGTTAGAGAACCATATTTTGAGGCAGAAGAAGGGGTTTCACTGAAACACTGACCCTGAATGAGAAGACAACAGAGCTCTTGAACCATAAGCTGGCAGCGAGCCTCAAGCCCAAGCGAACAGACAAGCAGCACCGGTATCGTGGCAGGGGCAGAGCAGCTCAGACTATCCACCTGAGCTTAGAGCCAAGGGGTCAGGTGCACAGGGGTCATGCCAGTTGGAGCGGAGCTAGTGTTCATCTGCCTCTCTGGGCTGGGCAGGCTCACTCCCAGCTGCACTGTGGACATGCCTTTAGGCCAAGGATGGGCAAAGTATGGCTTGTGGGCCAGATCCAGGCCATTGCAGCCCAGCAGGCACACAGGCAGTCTGCCTGCTTGCTGTGGCCCCAAATGCTACTCAAAGCAGCTGGCTGCTCAGGCAAGCATGTCTCTGCATGCATGCCCCTTGGGAGAGGGGGGCAGCAGGTCTCTGTGTCCTACTCCCACCCCTACCATCATTCCCACAACTTCCATTGGTCTGAAATCCACTGGGCCACTGGCTGGGAGCCACCTGCAGTAAGTGCCTCCCGGCCACAGCCTACACCTGGCACCTTTTCCCACAACCCAACTGCCTCCTGCATCGAAAACGCCTCCCAAATCCCACAATAGCTCCTGCACCCAAACTCCATCCATTAATATAATAGAAAAGTGCAGCCTGTGACCACTTACTAAATTCTTGGAGTATCCCCCTGTGAAATCTATTGCCATAGGCAATTCTGTCACTGCACCCAGTATTTGCTGCATGCCATGCACTCATGTGTGAAGAGGGGGATCAGTGCCTTTATACAAGCTACTAGAGCCAGAGCTTGAAAAGAGCCAGATGCTGGAACTAGCAACTCGTGGAGCAAGAAGGCCCATGACCAGGTCAAACAGAGGGATGTGCACAGACGGGGGGACAAAGGGACAGATGGAACAAGGACCTAAGGGACCCAAGTGACTTGACACCAGTGCTTAATCCACATGTGAATGATCCTCCACAAAACGAAGAAACCCCAACAACAAAGGCGAATGCAACCCTTAGCCCGTGTCTAAGAAAGACTTGCCTGATAATAAATGTTCCAGTCCCACAGGACTAGCCAAGTCTTCAGGGGAAACTTGGAATCAAAGTTATAAAAAAAAGGGAGGGAGGGGGGAAAGAAACCAGTGAGTGAATGAGGTTGGCAACAGAACTGTTCAGCTTCTGTTAGTTCATATCCTGATAAAGTGTTTCCTTCTGCCGCTTATTCCTTTATTTTGTAGCTCCTGCTGTTAATTGCACTATGTAATTCACTGCCTTAACCAAATGGTTAACCCAAAGTCACACTTCTTGAATTTTGGGAACAGTGCTAATAGTATAACAACAAAGTATAAATCCTACAGTAAAAACATATATAAATGCAATGCTTTGTGTGAACGCACACGCTGGGTGGGCGTGCATGTATGTACACAAAGCTTGAACAAAAGTTGTTTGCAGACAAACACACAGCACTTATTTATAACGGGTCAGGGGTCTTATGCACAGAACAGCATGCACATTTATACCACGCACTAGCATATGACATGGAGTAGGTGGGAGGAGAGCACTGCTTAAAGATATCTCATTTTGTTCTGCTAGCCTTAAGTCTGGTTAGCATTTGAATCAGAGGGAAACACAAAGCCTTATCAAAAATGTTGTGCAACAGAAATAATTTTTTTAAAACTATGCTGCGCTCACATTGGTAAATAAAGGCCTTTGTTGTCAAGGAATGCAAGCCTGGGAATCTACTTTATTGCACAGCAAATTAGAAGGAATAAAACTTCTGGAGAAGCTTTGGGTATTACTGCCCATCTTTAATATTGCTGGTTACAAGTGGAAGGAAGCTACGGATTTCATTTTCCAAGACTCTCTCAAGCTTTCTTCCACTGATGTCCACTTTGCATAAATACACAAAGTAAAAGCTTTTTAATGACACTTCAATCTTCATTTGTTAATTTTCCAATATATGCAAAGCCTAAATGTTATTATGGAACCACTTGGGAATGGTGAACTTGCAATTGATCCGATTATGGAGCAGTGAATGGGATCCAGGAAATTGTATTAACCTGCCACCTGCTGAAATGGTCTGATGCAGAGTAAGCTGCTCAGTTGGGAATGACACAGCATGGGAAAAAAGAAGGGAGGTGTTCCTTTTTGGTAATGGTTGGGTTGATTTGTCACCTTAAGCACATGGTACCTGTATGGTAAACCATAACATTCAGGTAATGGAATCTATCTATCTATCTATATATATGAAAAGATTTTCCTGCCAAATGACAGAACACTTATGCTGGACAACAAATTGATATCACGTCATCAGCATCAACACGCTCTCTCAGCGAAGCAAAAGCAGCCAGAAAGAGGGGGATAGGTAAGTGTAGCGAGCAGAGGGCGCAACCCTCTAGTATTACAGGAATTTTTTTGGTCAAATAGGTAACTGAAACACCAGTTCCTAAATCAACTCCTGCATAGAATCGTAAGATCCTAGGGCTGGAAGAGATCTCAGGAGGGTCAATGAGTCCAGCCCCCTGCCCAAAGAAGGACCAATCCCAACTAAATCAACCCAGCCAGGGCTTTGTCAAGCCGAGACTTAAAAACCTCTAGGGATGGAGATTCCACCACCTCCCTAGATACCTTATTCCAGTACTTCATCACTCTCCTAGTGAAATAGTTTTTCTTAATATCCAACCTAGACCCCCCACACTGTAACTTGAGACCACTGCTCCTTGTTGTGCCATCTGTTACTACTGGGAACAGCCTCGCTCCATCTTCTCTGGAACCTCCCTTCCAGAAGTTGAAGGCTGCTGTCAAATCCCCCTCACTCTTCTCTTCTGCAGACTAAATAAGCCCAAATCCCTCAGCCTCTCCTCCTAGGTCATGTGCTCCAGCCCCCACATCCTTTCTATAGTAGAGGGCCCAGAACTGGACACAATACTCCAGATGTAGCTTCACCAATGGCAAATAAAGGGGAATAATCACTTCTCTAGATATACTGGAAATGCTCCTCCTAATGCACCCCAATATGCCATTAGCCTTCTTGGCTACAAGGGCACACTGTTGGACTCATATCCAGCTTCTCATCCACTGTAATCCCCAGGTCCTTCTCTGCTGAACTGCTACTTAGCCAGTCGGTCCCCAGCCTGTAACAGTGCATCTGTTTAATGCTCTTAGGAAAACAAACCTCTTCTCTAGATCGCTACATCTCTACTGCCCTGGCAGTGGGATGGGTTAGATAAATGACAGAATTTCTCTTTTCCAGATCTAGCTATTACCATACTAAGGGCCAAATTCATATTAGGTTCAAATCAATGGAATTGCAGCAGTTTACATCAGATCTGAATTTGGCCCCAAGTCCTTGATGGTGGTTGAGAGCAATGGCAGAGGAGCTTTCAGAAGGCTAACCATCTGAAAGAGATGTATCATTTCCATTCACACCAAGCCATTGCCTTAATTCCCATGTGCTAGCATAGGATTAAAAACCTTTTTGGGCTCACCGTCATGGAGGACTCAGTGGACCTTCTATCCAGTGATTTTGCTCTACGGTGTGGAGACAAAGGGGAAGAGGAGACTTCCAGGATGGATCCTACTGCTGCAGTTTCTGAGGTGAGGTCCTGAAATGAGACAAATAGCCCAGATTGCCAAAATAACAACCTAGAACAGCAACTCCCGTCTCTCACAATGTGAAAGACCCATGGTATATTTCTTAGACCCAACAATTAAAATTAATGAGCTGACACCATAGTTTTCTTTTCATGTTTTAGAAGCACATTGCTCTTCTGGATATAGAGTCCAAGGCACTAGACTGACTCCAGTATGTCAGAGTTCACTTTCTTCTATACGATCACATACTTCTATTTGTTAATTTATTTTTTTATTAATACTTCTGTCATCTGCTGGGTCTTTTCCATGCCAGACCCAATGCCTCCCCTTTCCTATCCAGGAGGGAGAAATAAAGGTGATTTGTCTTCTGCTCTTCTCTCACCATGGAAGCAACGAGACTGGGCAGCGAGTAGCAAATCTGTATTGATGCCCAAGCAGTTGTTTGCTTGAGGCCTGCCTGCTGTGGTACATGCACCGTTGTCCCAAAACCCCTAGACTCTGTGCTCCATGCTCAGATTCCTAGTTAGGGCCTGCAGCAAGGAAAATCTTTGTTGTACTAGGGAGAGCACTAAATATGAGCTGCCAGCCAACAGCACATCCTCCAAGATCATAGGCAAGTGCCCTCATCCTACTTCAGAGAAATGAAAAGCTTACCCGTTTCCTGGGGAAAACCCTCTTCTCGCTCCTGCCCTGACGTGTCTCGCTGGAAAGGGAGGGGCCTGCGGATGCATTGGTTTCCATATGTTCTGCATTCTCTATATCTAATGCCTCAAATTTTTCAATTACCTGGGACCGTCTGGAACATAGAGAGAAAGGAAACCGGTGCTGACTTAACACAAGAGCAGCAATTGTTTTGCGATTCACAACACAATCCCACATAGCATGAGGTTCCCCACAGAAGCAGCAACAAGGGTTACATCCTACCGAACTGTGCAAAAACCACTCGTGTCCAAGTCTGTGCATTTCTGCCTTTTCATTCAAGTTCCCCCTACATGCTGGAAAACATGGGGGATTCGTAACATAGAACAGGTCTCAACTAGACAGGCAGGATTTTACCTGCAGGCTCTGAAGACAAAAGGAAAGATTACAGAATGCATGACTTCAGGCCTCTGAGAACTAATTGCTTTTGTCAGATCAAATTGGGGTGAAATCTTTGCTGATCATGTGCTACAGAAAAAAGTGCTCTTTAGGTCTCAGGTATGCATTCAGCCAGAGGTAGCAGATTTCATACGGACAGTCTGACCTTTCACAGCTTCTGAGCTCTAAGGATGTTCCACCTCCACACAGGTTTTTTTGTAATATTAGTAGGCTCTGTTTGCCCTTTTCCACCCCCTTCTATTTGCACATGGATTTAATACAGCAGGGTGGGTTGCTTCAGAGAGAGCTCCTTGCCCCAGCACTTTATATTTAATCTTGAAATCATTTTCTAAACCAGCAGTAACTATTTTTTTCCCCCCCAACGAGCCTTCTCCAGTCATTTCAGCACCACAGAGTATTCAGTATCTTTGGTTCTGTGTTCGACCCTTCACTCTCCAACTCAGTAACAAACCAGCCAGTAGAGACCAGAGTTCCACTGAGAACATTTACAAACGTACAGAGAAACATTCTCAGAGCGTAATGGGAAAAAGGATAGATTCTGGTCACTCCGATATAAACAGCAGGGCTCTGACCCAGAAAGATTCATCTATCTGCTTAATGCTATGCTCTGTGAGTAATCACACTGACTGTTAGTAGGACTACTCATAGTGCATATATTAAGTGTGCAAGTACATTTTTGTAAGATTGTGTAAGGTTATCACCAGGGTGGTGCACCTGTCCTAGTCTACAAACATTCAAACTAGTAGTGCAGTAACTACTAGTTAGAGGAAGGCTGCAACTTCCTCTTAGTCTAAAATTCCACTCTGCATATCCTGTATGGAAGGAGATTATTTGCTGCAGCACTGAATAATCATCAACTGCAGCACTAAGCGGCAAGGCCTCTTATACAGGACACTTGTCACCTCTTGCTCCAATAACAATCTTGATGCCTCTTTTGAGAGGGGACAACTCCTGCCTAGGGAGATTGTGGAATCTCCATCCTTGGAGATATTTAAGAGCAGGTTAGATAGACATCTGTCAGGGATGATCAAGATGGTGCTTGGTCTGGCCATGAGTGTAGGGGACTGGACTTGATGACCTCTCAAGGTCCCTTCCACTTCTAGTGTTCTATGATTCCAACCCCGTAACAGAAAATACTGGAATTCTCAAAGGGTAGTGAGAGATTTTTTAAAAGAATTTTGCACTGCCAAGAGGTTCAGATAAGGATCAACCTCTGGTGCTTTTATCTGAGCCAAGGAACCTTTTAGAACGTCATCCATCACTAACATATGCAACAAAGGAGCTCAAGCTGCATAATTTGGACCCTGATTTTAAACTCCAGCGGATAGATGGGGCCTTGTCACAATACTGGATCCAAATCGGGCTTAAATTCTTAATCACAAGTCTCAGGAGCATTTGAATCTGAGGGTTTTAGCTCATGTTCATCTCCAATGTATGTATAAAAATATAATAATCAAAGAGCTGCCAATTCAGAGAAACAAGTTGTTTAGTTACCAACAATTATTTTCAATTCTTTTCTTTAAAAGGGAATCTGTGAGGTTGGATAGGGTTTTATAAGTTTTTACCAAATTTTATAAAGTAAAACATAATCATTCTCTTGCTGTGTTGCAATCCAAACAAGGCAGCACAGAGAAACTATAGGAACCAGACAATGAAACCAACTAGAAATAAGAGTTTACTAGGTCTGCATTCACTAGAAAAGAAAAGAAAAGTGCTAAACGTAGACAACATCAGTAAGGAGACAGTCTGATCTTTCAAAGTTGATCAAATTTTAGAATAGCTCACTCCATTTTAATCATGTAAGGCCCCTATCCAGAAAACTGCAGGATGGAACCCTGGGCCTTTGTAGAGACCAATTAAGGTCCCACAATAAGTGCAGAGATACACTCACACAATGCAGCCTGCAGGATTGGGGCCTAGCCCTTAGTAAAACAGGTAAGGGGAATTTCTTTGTATACATGATTTTTAAGCCAACAGTGCCCCTTTCACCAGCCCAGCCTCCTCTCTCAGACTCAGTTTAGCGTGGAATAAGAGACCCATGAATTAACACTGTCTCCTCCCTTTCAGGTGAAGTTCTGAAGAAAATTAAAAACAAAACCAAAAACCAAAATCAAAAGCAGGTTGATTTCTCATGAAAGGGGCTGCACCATCGAGTTGTCTACGGCTCGAGATTGAGATGAGATGGTAGCGAAGCAGGCGGAGTAAAGGACACGTCACACAGCAACACAGGAGGAGAAGGTGGAGAGCAACAAGACCTGGAAGAAAACAAGGCTGGAAAATGAATGAACAGAAGAGGAAATATATATCTATATGTCTCTATATAAATTAATAAATAAATAAAAAAGCAAAATCATCCCAAGATATCATTACCAAAAAAAAGGGGGGGGGGAAATCATTGCAACCCAATCACAGCACCAAGTGTTAATATCATTAGATTGTTTCCTCCATTGGCTAAACATTTTGAGAAAGGTATTGCTCTGGCCGACAGATGTGGTGAGCATGCAAGAGATCTGAAATGAATTCATTCTCTGTTCATCCTAGGCTGAGGACAGCTACCCTTAGGCTCCTGAAAGTGAACCTGCCCCTACAAACATTGGCTCCAAAACTTCAAAGAAGGTATGCAGTATTTAAAGAGATGTGTCATTCACTCTCTTAAACTAGTTCCTGGGAACTCATCTTCAATGCAAGCTATTAATCTGCTCCAGGCCACTAAACACAAGCTACAGAACTGAATCAACATGGAAGTAAAGGGGGAACTACAAAAACTGACAACAAAATCTATAATTAAAATAATTATCTTTGATTGGAAGAGTTTTGTTGTTTTCATTTATTATTTAGCTGCAAGAAAGTTTGAGAGAGTGTTTCAGAGAGACAGCAAAGGGAATTACCTCATTAGAGAATAGTTACAAAGAAAACCATTAATAAAATGAAAGGAAGGAGTGGGTGACCTCTGTTCTCAAAGCAAAGGTGTATGCATTGGGATTGCAGGGGGATGACTCTTAGAAGAAAGCATTTGAGAAAAATCCATCAGTACAATTTATCTGCAATTTCAGGGCAGCTCTGATTTATTGAAAAGAAGGAGAAATACATATGCAAACATCTAACTCTGATCCCATAGCAGGTCCCAATTTCTGTCATCAGAGGTGGTTAGAATTCAGAACACAGAGCACGTCTACATGTCTAACCTTAAGTCAACCTATGTTAGGTCAACGTACAGCCACTGCAGTGGTTCATGTTCACACTCTTCTTCTGCTAGTGGTGCAGGTCTATGACAGGAGCGCTTCCACAGGCTCTCAGAGCTCCACATGCAGCTCCTTGCCAGGAGCACGGGTGCTCCCCCTGGCTCTCAGTTCCCTGCTCTGCTCCTGAAGTCCAGGTGGCTACTGGGCTCCCAGCAGAGAGCCAAGAGCCTCAGTGTAGCAGGGTCCCCAGCAGAGAGTGGGAAGCCTGGTTAGCAGCCCAGCTAGGAGGAGGGAACCTTCCCCGCCATCCCCTCCCCTGCACCCAACATGACAGCCTGAGCTGTGAGCCAGGCTTTCTTGTCAACATAACATGGGACACTGCATCCCCCTAACTATGCTGATGTAAGCCCTACACCTCTGATGAAGGTTGGAGCTAGGTCAGTGTAGTGGGGTACTTACATTTTTGGGAGCAAAGCTCTAGCATGGACACTGACATAATTAGGTCAACTTGAGGGCCTTACGTCAACTTAATGCTGTACTGTAACCAGGCCTCAATGAGAAGATCCTCCTTTAAAATCCTAAGGGTTAATAAGCAAGCATGTGCACACACCAAGCAGAGAACCTCAAAGCTCCCCACAGATCAGCACTGAGTAGCAGTATAATGGGCTATCATGACACACATTATACAGCGAGCAAATGCCACATGAAACTTCCAGCGCCAAACCATGCCCACACCACAGTTTCAGAGGATACTGTGGTAACCCAAGGAGCAGAGCTTGTGTGGTCAGTCATCACATCTGAATTCCAGCGACCTTTAAGCCCTCGCTCACTAAAGGGCAGTAAAATTTTTGCTGTATCAAAAACTGCCCATAATAATGCCTGTATTTGTAGCCCAACCCTATAGGAGCACCTCATCCAGGGCATAAATTAAGCTTTTACCACCTGGAGCCAGTTATGTTCTCTCTAAGCTCCCTGCTTGCCATCAGTAAGGGCAGAGGTTGTCTCCCAAACTTTCTTATTTATTTCAGTGTGGGTAAGGGTCATTTACTTTCTCCAGCTGGTTAAAGAGTATCCAAACTTGCAAAACACATTGCATTCAAGGCGGTAGGGAGCGAAGGCCTGCACGTGTCATTTCTGGGGAGATGCCTTAGGAACAAACACACAAAAGTAGTGGAGGCAGCTGTCAGGTGGTGGAACAGCAGGGCCTGAAGAATCATTGGCAGCTGGGAATGGGAATAGGCATCGGTGGTGGAATGCCACGAGGCATAAGGGCTCCTGGTACCTGAGATGGGGTATTAAGGGGAGAACTGGGGGCCTGAGGACTCAGGGACAGCTGGAGAGGAGAGGGTATCAGACAGAGCATTGCAGGCCTGAGAGCTAAGTGGCAATTGAGAGGAGAGTATCCGGCTGGAGCATCCCCCAGGCTGGGGGCTCTGTAGCAATTCGAGGAGGAAGGAGGAGTTGGAGACAACACCCTGGCCCTAAGGATTCCTGTTGGAAGTGGGGAGATACCCCG